ACTTTATCAAATACACAGATTTTTGCATATGTTTCCTTTGTTTGAAAGGCGATTTCATAATTGGTTAAGTGTAGTCAAGGATTCATCTTTCTTATATTTTATTGCTGAGAATCTGATGCCATCGTTTTTATAAAAAAGAAAAAAGCAAACAAAAAGTATCTACAGATTGGTACAATGGAATGTGAAATTAGTCATAGTTTACATCTTTAGAAGAATGTGTGTACATGTGTTTGTGTGTGCTAGCCACTTCCAGCAGAAATGTCACTTGGATGTAAGCAGGGAGGATGTCTTGAAATTAAGCTAAAGGTAAGGGGTGTGTTGATGCTAGGAAAAGAAATCAAATTTGAAGTCAATACTAAGGCTGCCGAATGAACCACAGCGATCATGGAAGTGCTGGTGTGGACGGGACAAGCGTGTCCCACCTGCTGACGTTGTCCAATCCTGTCCAGTTATTTAATTGTGTAGCCAAGGCCATTATGATCCTAAATTAGTAGCAAAATATATGTGCTTTGCATGCCCTTGAAAGGTGAAATGTTTTATCTACCCCGAGCTGCTCTGGGGGTTCTGCGATGTGCCTAACACCTGGCAGTGGGAATGGGAAGCTGGTTCCCTAAGCAATTGCAGGGGCCTTTGTAGGAGTCCTGCAGAGCTTGGGATCTGGCCAGGTCTTGGAAGGTAAGTTAGAGAAGAAAGGTTTGTGAAGTAATGCAATGTTTTTAAATTCCCACACATCTCTTGATGGTCAGGTATTGCAGAATATCTTTGTGTGCTTTCCTTAAGTGTCTTGATTCACCTTAAAGAACATTTTGCAGGGCAGATGGAGAGACATTTGATGCGTAAATCTAGCTTTAACAAAGTACTTGCTGTATGTGTAAACTCAGCATACCTAGTAGGTTGGAGAAATAAGAGAACTTGCATTGCAGCCTTCAGAGTGTTTTTTGGTGGTGTGTTTTTTTTGTTTGTTTGTTTGTTTTCATTTGTTTTAATTAGTGAGGTGTGTATGGACCTGCTTGCCAAATTTCAAGTTTTCTGCTAAGGCCTTGCCGGTCCTCATAACCAACCAACCTTTTGGACTGCAAAACTATTAGTTTAAAGGTAAATCCTTTCATGGTACTTCATTTTACGCAAAAGAAGGAATATTTTTTATTTCATTAAATAAGTGAGAAAGCAGTATCAGTTTGAACAGTTGGTGGCAAGGACATTGCCACTGCAACTCAGTCCAAGTGAAAGAGCTGAGGTACTGATGTGCTTTCATCTGACTGCTAGAAATGTTCATCATGTAGAAATACATTTTAAAGTGTAGCAGCATAAAAAAATACATTTGGCAGGAGGTTAAATGTTTTATTCAAATACTGGATACCTTGGGTTCTGTTTCAGTGATGTAATTTATATTGTTGAGGGAAGCGATATGCAAGTATGAACTGTTATTTAATAATCCTGGTGAATTCCTCTTCGTCTCCCACTCCAATTTTCTAGTCATTGTGTGGAAAACGCTACAATTACAAGTAGGCCCTTAAGGACAGGTGAGGTCAGATGTGCAATGCATGGGAAGGAGATGGAGCTAAGCAGTGTGTAGGGAAATGATGATTTTGAACTCTCCAAGTCGTGCACCTGTGGTACGGAAATTCCTTACTGGCCTTGGTAAATTACCAAATTTATTAAACAAAGTAGAACCGGAATAGTCCTAGACCTTCCCCATATATACAGCATCATCTTGGAGTGTATTTGAATTATCACAGACTTTGCAATATTTAGCTGCAAAGACGGGATGTGGAACTGAATTGAGCAGCAAACGCTAGTTTTGAGTATTTGGAACCATCATGGATTGTACTAATACCACCAGATTCTCTTATTTCTCAACATTAACACAAATTACACCAAAGAACCTGGGATTAATTTTAGTTAAGTTATTGTTTTATTTATTTTCTCTTGAGGACTGGATGGGCCTCCCTCAGGAGCCTGTAGAAGGGAACCGTTTAATTTATCCGAAGGGCAGTGGTGAGCAGACTGGCAGCACTGGCTCTCTCCCACCCGAGGAGCTGAGCCCCGGCTTGGGCCGCTCCGTCCGGCCCGGGAGAGACTGGAAGTGCGGAAAAATCCCGGCTCCTCCCGTAAGGCGGTGCAGAGCACTACCGCTAAGCCACTGGGCTGGCCCTAATCAGCTGTTTTAGCGTCGTTTATTTATTTCAAAATCATGTCTCTGTATAGGGGAGGCATTTCAAGTCGATTGCAAGAAAATTTAGGATATAATGGCTACAGTCTAGAATTCAAAACCAGCACAAGAAGCTTTTTTCTGACTCTGGTTTAAAAAAAAAAAAAAAAACTGTCTGTCTAGCTGTCTATCTGTTTCTTTCTCTTTCTGGGTATTTGAATCCCTCTTTTGTTTTCCGCCACCATTCATTGTATTGGAGTAAATGAAACTTTCATATTAAAATAAAAGTGTGTATGGGAAATGGTTGGTTTCTGTGAGAGTGGAAAAATAGATTAATCTAGGACCGGTATTTTCATAAACCCCTTGGAGACCACTTATTATTTGTTTTGCTTTCTCAGTCCTTCCCTTCTGTGAGAAAATTTACTGTTTGTGTAAAAACTCAAAACGTTGTTGGTGATTATTTGGCATGTTTTTGGACCTGGTTAATTCACGCTTGGCTTTTCCTTAAATTCTGTACTCCCAAAGTTAAGCTGATAACCAGGTTTATAACATGTATGTACCATCAGTTTGTTTACCTGAGTCTTTTTAATTTGAATAAAAATAGTTTGCAAAGTGTTTTGGATTAACCAGGTTTGAGTGTCCCATCAAGACTTGCGTTGTCAGGATTTCATTTCAGGTAATTGTGGCTGTTGCGGATCCAGCTTTACTCGAGCCCTTGGTCTGTGCGTGCGTGTGTGTGGGCAAAAACCTATAGGAAGGAGCTTCTATATTGTCCTGGTTAGGGCAAGATGTGGCTGGAAGGAGGTGAGAAGAGCAGCGATGCTGAAAAATAACGGGTGAAAATTGAGCCGTAAGGAGCATGAGCAGTAAACCTTGAAAACTGCGTGGTGCATTTGGAAGATGCTGAGTACTGATTATGAAATTCAGTCAGTCGGTTTGCCTCTATCTTAATTAAAAATAAATAGCGAGCCTTAATATTCCACACAGGAAGTTAACCTGTCTCGGGACCATCTTTCGTGCAGCTGGCTGATAGAGGAAATGCACACACTAATCTGGAAAAGACCCCTTTTACAAAATAAAAACCAGGATAGAAAATTTCCTTAGTGTTACTAGCAGCAAAAAAAATCAAGTGATAGTGGCACCCTGAGTCTGCAAGAGCTGCTAGCGACAAAAAGGCATTTAAAGCAGCCAGAACCAGCATTGCATTTAATTAACACAGCTTGGATCAAAAGGGTGAATTGCTCCTTAAGCAGCCTCCCCCCTTGACAAAACTTGCAGCTTTGGAAGATTGGGTGAAGTCACAGGGCGGAGACCAGCTGTTTCTAATAGTCCTTGGTGTTTTGCTTTCTCTGTCAGACACTGTGGGTCAGTTGTGGGTGTGCTGAGCTTGCCCAGCTGCGAGGGGATGAGCTTCAGCAGCGCTTCAGAGCAGCTGTGTGCGTTGGCCATCAAGGAGGACATGAGATCTGGTCCACTAATCTATGTGAAGCATTCTGATTAGTGCAAAACTCTGGGTACAACATCGTGCCGGGCTGGCCGCAGAGGCCGTCGCGCCGCGAGCAGGCGCTCAGCGCCGGAGCGGGGCCGGGCGCTGCCCTGCTCCGCTCCCTTGGCCTTGGT